GACAGTGGAGCCCGGAGTCACCCGCAAGGCCCTCAACAAGCACCTGCGTGGCACTGGGCTCTGGTTTCCTGTCGGTACCGTGGGCATGAGAGGGGTCATGGGGCTGGGGGTGACAGCACTCGAGGGGCTTGGGATTCCTGTAGGGCTGGGCATGGTGGGAGTGTTGGGGGTGATGTGGGGTCCACTGTTGTGCTGTACTCCCGTGGGTGCCCGTGGAATGAAAGTGCCATGGCCCCAATGCTTTTGGGGATGCCCATAATTTTGTTGTGGTTGAGGTCCCAGTGGTGTCCATGTTGGAGTGGGCACCATCCCCATCTGCTTCCCCTGTCCATCCCTGCTTGCAGACCCTGGGGCGGACGCCTCGCTGTGTGGCATGGCAGCCACGGGTGCCTCGGGCACCAACGCGGTGCGCTACGGCACCATGCGCCCCAACGTGCTCAACCTGCGCGTGGTTCTGCCGGATGGGCGCCTGCTCCACACTGCTGGCCCCGGGCGCCAGCCCAGGTGGGCACCAGGGGGCCGGGGGGCTGTGCTGGGCTGGCCATGTGCCAGTGGGTGCCTGCTCACCAGCTCTGTGCAGGAAGCGGGCGGCCGGCTACGACCTGACCTCACTCTTCGTGGGCTCCGAGGGCACTCTGGGCTTCCTGACTCAGGCCACGCTGCGACTGCACCCGCTGCCCGAGGCCACTGCTGTCACCGTCGCCTCCTTCCCCAGCGTGGGGGCAGCCGTGGCTTGCACCGTCCAGGTGCTGCAGGCTGCTGTGCCTGTGGCCCGCATCGGTGAGTGCCTGCAGCCAGAGGTGGGGCTGGGGGTCCCGGTGCCAGTGGTGGAGCTCAACACTGCCTCCTCCCACCCAGAGTTCCTGGATGAGGTGATGGCAGATGCCTGTGGCCGCTTCAGTAGGATGGAGTTGCCAGTGGCAGCCACACTCCTCCTGGAGCTGCACGGCTCCCGGCGTAGCCTTGCTGAGCAGCAGCAGCACATGGGTATGACTGGGAATAGGGAGGAGGAGACTGGGGGCCATGATGGACACCCAGGGATGAGGGATGGGTGCTCAGGGACAGGGAGACCAGGGTGTTCTGAAGCATGGTGCTGGGAGGCCATGATGTGGCACTGGAGTAAGTGATGGATGTCCAGGACATGGGACAGTGGGACAGGTCCTGGGGTGAGGGATGGGTGCCCAGGTCTGGGTGGGGGTTGGAGACCTTGAGGTCATCAGGATGAGGGACAAATGCCCAGAGCCTAGAACTGGAGGACTGGAGTCATGGATGCCTGCCTATGGATAGGGGATGGGAGATCAAGGGCATCCTGAGGAGAGGGATAGGTGCCCAGGACCAGGGAGAGGGGACCAGCAATGGAGTCTTGGGATGGTGACTGGGAAGACACTAGGGTGAGGGATGGGTGTGTGCACTGGGGATCTGCTGAGGGGCTCATGGAGATGGGACAGGGGGGACCAGGGTTGTCAGAGTGGTGGACAGGGACCCAAGGACAAGGGGCAGAGGGATGAGGAGTATCCCAGGGTGTGGGATGGGTGCCCAGGAGGGGCACTGGGTGAGGGCTGGGTGCTTGGGGGTGCTGTGAGTCCTGTCCCAGAGCTCCTGGTCACCACCAGAGGAGATAGTGCAACAGAACAGCGGCTCCAGCCTGGCCTGGGCGGAGGGGCTGGACGAGCGCGAGCAGCTCTGGTCCATGCGCCACAATGCCTGGTACGCTGCCCTGGCGCTGCGGCCCGGCTGCCAGGTGAGGCACAAGGATGGGGATAATGGCAGCAGCGCCCCTGGTGCTGCAAGTGCCACAGCTCTGCCCTCCCTGGCCCAGGGCTACTCCACGGATGTCTGCGTGCCCATTTCCCGCCTGCCTGATGTGGTGGTGGAGACCAAGCAGGACCTGCAGGCCTCCGGCCTCACCGGTCAGCAGGGCCACAGCCCCCCGGGACAGGGGGTTGGGACATCACCGTCCTCCACACCCCACCCCATCTGACCTGAGGCCTTGCAGGACCCATGGTGGGACACGTGGGCGATGGCAACTTCCACTGCATCCTTGTATTCAACTCCCAGGACCCGGAGGAGGCCCAGCGCATCCACGCCTTCACCCAGCGCCTGGGCAGGTGGGGCCAGGGTGCTGTGGGGGGCCGGGGCTGGGCAGACAGATGTCCCCATGCCCTGTCCTTCCCTGTCCCCCAGGCGGGCACTGGCAGCAGGGGGCACCTGCACTGGGGAGCACGGCGTGGGGCTGGGCAAGCGGGCACTGCTGCAGGAAGAGCTGGGCCAGGAGGGCCTGGACACCCTGCGCTCCATCAAGGCTGCACTGGACCCCCACAACCTCATGAACCCTGGCAAGGTGCTCTGAGGGGGAGCACCAGCACTGAGCTGGCAGTGGGGAGCCTCAGCCCCTGGAGTTGGGGCCAGGGTGACCATGCTGCCCTGCAATGCCACTGTATGTATCCCTACAAATCCCCCCATCACTACTTCTGGGGGTCAGGGATCCTCAAACTCCCAATAAACCCTTTGGACTCGCACTGTCCATGTGCTGTGAAGTTGTTTAGGACGACAGGACCCCCCAGCCCATTCCCAGGAGGCCCCTGTCCCAGACAGCACACACAGGGCAGGGCATTGTCAGGGTCCCATTCAACCACTTCTCCTGAGCTGCCGGTGCCAGGTGGGAGCTCTCTGGGACCTGCCGAGCACTGCTGTGGCCATCCCCACAGAGAAGGGGAAATGGCATGGGTGGGGTGTCACCCCACCAGCACCCCACTGGCATCATCTGCTTCACCAAGAAAGCCAGTGAAATAAAATAACAGTGAATATTTTATTGAACATTGTTTTAATACCATATCAAAACACCTTGACTAATGAAGGAAGCTCCCCCCAAGCTCTGAACTCTTTTTTTCCCCTGTTTTTTTTTTTAATATATAAATACAGAAAGGTTTCCCGCAGGGGCACGGCCACCGGCAGGGGAGGTCTCACCAACGAAAACGCGCCCGCCGCGCCAGGAGGGGACGGGGATGGGCGAGGGGGTCACTGCCATGAAATGACACCATCTTGGCACCTCCAGCAAAACCACCCCTGTGACTAGGGGTGGCTGGGGACATCTGGGGGGCCATGGGAGCCTTCCCCATGCCCTCCTCAAAAGGGTCCAACTCAAAGCCGATGGAAAAGAAAGAGGAGAGGCGGTTTTGGCAAGAGGAGCCCGGCGAGGGGGCACGGGAGGGGCGGCGGGGATGCTGCAGCTCTCCAGTCTCTGAGTGGTTATAGCTGAGTTAAAGAGTGACCAGTCTGTAAACATCACCGGGGCAGGGAAGCTCAAATTGAAGAACACGCCAGTCAACACGAAGCTTCAGTTGTGGTTTGTTGTTTGTTTTTTTTTTTTTGTCCATTTTCTCTTTTTTCTTCTTTTTTTTCCTTTTTTTTCCTTTTTTTTTTTTTTTTTTTTTTTCTCTTTTTTCTTCTTTTTTTTCCTTTTTTTTCCTTTTTTTTTTTTTTTTCTCATTGTAAACACTTGAAAGACGGACCCCTGCGACTCAGCAGGGGGGAGCAGTGGCCCCGCTCCCGGCGTGGGGCAGAGTCCCCATCTCAACGCTGTCGGGGCCGGGGTGGAGATCTCCAAAAGGGAGATGGGAGAGAGGAGAAATTTCCCGTTTAGTCAGTGCAAAAAAACCGAGCAGAGCCCCCGGGCGAGTCCGGGTGGGAGGTGGGGGGGTTGCCGGTGAGAAACGCCACGTGCTCCGTTTGGCCGGCTGTCCCCCGGCAGCTTTCCCCTTTCGGTTCGGGGAGAAAAGCCAAACATCATGGCAGGGTTTCGGCCGAGGGCGTCCCCGGGGCCTCCCTGGCAGGCAGAGCTCTCCTGGTGACCAGCGGCTGTGGAGGGGAGAGCAGGTCGCTCCGCTTTTCTCACACTGTCGTCTCCTGGATGTTTTCTTTTTGTTTTAAGTCTTTTAAATAAAAAAAAAATAAAATAAAATAAAACCAAACCAAAACAAAACAAAAAGCAGAAAAACAACAGAACAAATAAAAATAATAAAATAAAATAAAAACTCCGCCGTTGTCCCAAGTGGATTCAAGTTTCTGGGTTTTATTTTTGTCTTCTTGAGGAATTTAAAGTCAGCCCAAAACTCCAGGCGGGGTGGGGGGGACGGGGAGAGGAGGTACAGCAGGTTTAGCAAGGTGCCCTGCAAAGGCAGAGAGAGACCATCCCGGGTGAGGAGTGGGAGCCCTGGCTGTCATGTCCCATCCTATCCCACCCCATCGCCCACATCCAGCCCTGGATTTAAGCCCAGCATGGGAATGTCCCTTCTGAGTAGCCCACCACAGGCTCACCTTAGAGAGAAGTCAGCAAGCACGCTCGGCGGGTCAATCAGAAGGATGCTCTGGGCAAGATCTGTTCACTTCAAACCATGAGTCTATACAGCTGCAAGAGGAGGGCACGTTACCACCATGCTGCTGAGCCTTAGGTGTCCCCGTCTGTCCCTTTGCCACCCGCCCAGCTGTCCCCTCAAGGTACCTTTTGTGATAAATGCAGAGGCAGGGCAGCCTGGCTATCGTGTCCCCCTGCAGCAGCTCCTCCAGGCAGATCACGCACTCGCCGGCATCCTTGGTCAGCACGTCATCTGGGAGGGGAGGACAGGGCAGCAGTGAGAGGGGAACACCACAGAATTCCCCTCCGTGGGATGGAGGGGAGCCCAGGGTCATTGCTGCGGGGGCAGCCGGGATGGGGTGCAATGACAACAGTGCTGGAAAACACTGGGAAGAGGTTCATGTGGAGGCACAGGGAGGACATGGGTCTGGGGCATCTGGAGTCAACACAACCCCTACTCCTGGCTTCCAAAAAATCACCAACCAGTAGGGGGTGAGCATCACTCCCACATCAGCAGTCAGGAGAGAGGTGGGAGACGCCAGAGCTTGCAGCCCAATGCTCAGCCTCATGAGCCACCCTGCCAGCAAGGAGGACATGCCCCTTTTTGAGGGGCAGCCCAGGAGGACATGCACGAGCAGGGCTCCCTCTAGCACAAAGGGGAAGGGACGGGGCCCCCTCGGCGTAGGGGGCTGTGTTACAAAGGAGCCCAAAAGCAAAAGCAGCAGGCTTGAGCCACGACAGGGGAGCAGAGTGGAGCAGCACCATCCTGCCGGAGCACAGTCCTCTTGGGAAGCCCAGCCAAGCCACCCGCCCACAGCAAATCTCTTCAGCCTGCCCGGAGCCATCCCAGAGTGGCAGGGCACCGTGTCCCCCACACAGCCTGGCCCTTACCGTTGTAGGAGAGGCGAGGTTTGCTCAGACACATGATAAAGTGCATTTCCATCTCGTCAGAAGCCACAGATTTGGAGCAAATGGGGCACTTGAAACCTGGAAGGAGAGCACAGAGACGAGCCCTTAGCGAGGGCAGGAGTCGTCCACCCTGCATCCTGGGGAATCCCTGGGGCCATGGTGGGGCAGGGCAGCGGGCAGCCCCTCACCTGCTGCCTGCATGGTGACCCTCACCCCACACGGCACCCACTGGGCACCCGCTCATCCTGTGCCAGCCACCAGCGTGGGGGACAGCCACCGAACAGGGGACAGCCGACGAGCTGGTGTGCTGGCCGTCCCCGTGCCCGCCGCGCAGAGGGCACGGAGAGCGTGCCAAGACAGTGCCCACGTGGCCATCAGCTGCTGCCAGGCCTTAAAGGGCGAGCAGCAGCCTGGGGCATGCAGCACCCAGCCACTGGCAAGTGCAGGGGCACGTCCCTGTGCCTGGACAGTGCTGTCCTTGCTGCCAGAGTTCGGCACCACAGAGCTGAGCCAGAAAAGCTGCAAGGAAGTTTTTTTTTCTATGGCTGCAGCAGAAGACTGGCAGATCGGAGCCTCAAACACAAATGTCTGCTTTGTCCAGCTTTCCACAGGACTGGGCGCTCACCCCTCTGATGCCAGTCTGTCTCCCCAGAAGCACAGGGACACTACAAGCTGATGAACCAGCTTGACCTTGGCCCTGCTTGGTGATTTGGGTTCTTGGATGAACCGAGATGGGATGCCCAGATCTGCTCTGTGACCTTGCCTGAGGTGGTGCCAGGGTGTCATCACCTGCTCGAGCCATGCAGACCACTATAGCATCCTCCCCAGCCCCACTGAGTGAGGCTGCCCCAAATGCAGTTTGTAAGCCCCTAGTTCACAAGGAGCAGAACCCCAAGAAGCCCTGTAGGTCACCCATCTGAGACTCCCTGCCCTCCTACTGCAGCCAGCTCGAGGCCATGTGGTTTGTCAGTGCCCAGCAGAGCAGCGCAGCTCGAGCTGAACACGCGCTTGCCACCACCACGGGTTTGCACCAGAATATCCAGCAATTCCCTGCCTGCAGAGAGGGAGAGGGTAATTTAAGGATCTGCCTTCTAAAAGCAGATCAGGTTTGACTGCAGTGCTGCTTAAGAGCTTTCTTCATATATATGCAAAGGCTGCTCAGGAACGAGAAGAAAAAGAATGTACACAAATTATCTAAGGATGAATCAGGTTCTTGTTTGCCACCACATGGATGTGGACAGGGCAGTTTCTTTTTGCTTCCCATAAGGGAGAAAGTACAGGGTGGCTTTAAGGAGAGGCAGCTCAGACCACTGCTGTGCAAACAGCCCCTCTAACTTCTCAACACCCCAGTGCTCATTAGCAACAGTGATAAATACAGTTTACTTCCCAGGTCCTCGGATCCTGCCCCTCCAGGGTGTTGTTCTTTCCCAGGAGGGCGCAGCAAGGATGAGTACCATGGATGGTATGGTATTGGCTCTAAAAGGACCTGCTAAAAGAAGGAACCCTCAAGCTCAGGGGTCCCTTCACTGGGGTGTCCTGCTGGCCTGCAGCATTGTCACGCTGGGAACACATCCCTGCCCCAGCCTGGCTGAGCCACTGGGTCTCTGCTCTGAGTCCAGCCCCCACTGCACCAAGCTCCAGGCAATAGGGCAGTGCGGCAGCCAGGGCCTCGTAGGCAGCAGCACCGATCTGCCTTCTCCTCTCTAGCCTAATTTTACTCCTGACCGATTTATATCTTGTGGCAGCCATGCCCATTAGCTGAAGTAGCTGGTTTTTTCCTCCTCCCAAGTGTTTACCCGCCTGGTGTATTTATAGCGTGGATAGCTCGGATAGCCTCCCAGCCTGCCTGCTGCAAGACCCAGCTGGCCTCCCCTTGCCAGACACCCTCCCGGTGTCCTGCTCCCCTGGCCCTGCCTGAACTGGTGCTGCCTGGAGCGGATCCCTACTGGGGGAGCTCTGGCCACTGCTTTCCAGCAGCAAGTCCCTGAAACGGCTGTGAAGGACTCCCTTTGGAAAAGGCATTTTGTCTCTGCAAACTCTGTGTTAGGGCACGGTATTTGTAGAGGTTCAGTACTGTTCCCTGTGCTGTGTGTGGGCAGAACTCGTTTCCTCTGGTCCCCCCTTTTCTGTGCCAATGTGTTATTTTAAACAGCTGTCCCAGATCTGCCAGCTCCAGCAACACCCGAAGGGATCCTATGAGACGTGCAACCAATGTAATGGGAAAAGGCCCCAGATGAAACTGCCTGGTCTGTGGCTGCCAGGGCATGGCTGCCAGCAAAGCAGCAGGGCCAGGCAAAGAGCAGGGTCCTGTGCAGGCTCCAGCGAGCGGCTGTTGCTGTATCTCCAGGCCTCTTTGCTAGCTGGGATAGCTTTAGCACGGTTATAAATAGCTGGCATGAACACTCCTCATGCTCCTCTCTGCTCCCTGGGCAGCTGGCTGGAGCACTGGGACTCCTGACACTGCCACAGCCCCATGGCAAGGACGTAGGGACATTGGGCAGACGGAGGGGCCCGGGCTCAAGCCCCAGCACGTCTGTGGCATCCTCCAGCCAGACAGGTCTGGGGGCTGAGCCAAGTGCAGAAGCACACACACACGCTTTTCTGGCTCTGCACTTCACAAGATGAAGGGGGGGGGGGAAAGGGAAAGTTGAATATGCAGTTGCGTAAATCCCCAAGTTTGAGCAGGAGTGAGGAGCTGTGGGTGTGGAAAGGCCCCCAGGGCAGGGGGCTGCCCTGCACCCCAGCTGTCGGCACAAATATTTGACATTGCAAAAGCAACTGCTTGTGTTTCCCTTCATGGCAGGCACAAGAACCCAGCATCAGTGGGAAAGGGGAGGCAGAGGTGAACTCCCTCACCCCTTCTCCAGGTGACCTTTGGGTGAAGGTGATAGGCAGAGAACCAGTGAGAGCCAGCACCAAACAGCGGCAGGCACCGAGCCTAGTGCTTTGGAACCTCCTTTCACAGTTCAGGCAGGAGCCTGTCCTGAGGATGAAAGAGCTGCTCTCCACATGGCAAGCCCCCTCCAGGCCATGGTATTTTCCACATTCCCCGAAATCCCCGTTAATTTATCCTGCCTAAGCTGCCAGCCGGAGCAACGCAGGAGATTACATTTTGACAGCTGCTCATGGAAAATTCAGCTCCCTCCCTCCTCCTCAAGCCCTTTCTGTCCTCCTCCCACATGCCTAAAAAAAAGAGAGGAAGGGCCCAGCTATTCCTCCTTGCCTGGGCCTCCCACACCCATGGGGTTGCTCCAGGGAAAGGCCATGGACATGTCCTCCCTCCCAAGGCATCTGGTGCAGCTGGTGATGCTCCCGCCCATGGCACATTAAACCTGAAGCTGGCACTGTCACCTCATGCAGAAATGTGTGGGCAGGTACCAGCTCCCAGCAAGAGTAAGTGAAGAAGAGGAGGGTGCTGCAGGAAGGGGGCAGGGCTGGCCTGGAAAGGCAGGTACAGGTCAAGACCTGGACTCTTGTACCTTGCAGGAGACTCTGAGAAAGCCAAGGGCTTTCCAGGGTTGCGAGACACAGGCTGGCAGGTGACCTAATCTCTCCAATGGCTTGGTCTAGAAACCAGGAGCAAGTGGCGCTGGCACTCTCCAGGGGCTATTACCCTCTGAGTATTTTTAGGAAGGTTACATGTTTAATTTTAGAGAGCTGGGCAAAGTAGAGCTGGGAACCTCTGAAAATCTCCAGCCAGTCCTATGAATGATGAAAAAGCCTGATGGTTAACCCTCACAGTACCAAAAGCACTGCCACAGAACTGCAAGGTATTTAGTGATGGGGAAAAGATTGAGACACCTTTCCAACCCATTTCTAAGTATCCCAAACAGAGCTAATTCTGGAGCTGAGATAGGAAATTCCCATCACTTGTGTCTACTGAGCACTACAACAGGGTCAGCCACACCATGTCCTGTGAGTGGAAGTGGCTGTTCCCCTCAGGGGTGGGTGAGACCATGTTCACAGGAGCTGCAAGCCTATCCCAGATCCCAGGGAAAGGCACGTGCCACGTCTACCTTCACCTGCCAAACCCTCCTCCTGCTGGGTGTGCCTCCAGGCAGACTGCTTACAGGCCACAGTGCCATCAGGAGTAGCCCTGGCAGTAGGTAGCCCTGGCTCTGTTACTGGCAAGTGGCTGAAACACGGAGAGCTGCAGCTTTTCCACTGCGTAGCACCTCCAGCAGTGTGAGGAAGACACCAGTGGGGATGATGGGCCCTGAAGGTAGGAGAAAGCAGCAGCCCAGGCACAATGCTGCATTCATACAGCATTCACTAATGGGATCCCTGGTTGCCCGGTCTCCCACTACTGCCATGACATAAACCAGGAGCCCTGTGAGTGGGAGAAGCAACACAAACTCCCCAAAACGTGCCTGCCCCAGGAGGGATCCCCTCTCTGGTGCCCAGTCACCCCACAGGATACCTGGAGAACCAGGGAGCTTGGGTAAGCTCCAGGCTGCCTGATGATCATGGAAGATTTGGAAACCTCAGCTGCACAGCCCATCTCCATGTCTCTAGAGAGCATCCTGGGCTCCCAGCCAAGGGAGCTGGCTTATACCAGGTGAGGATGTGTCCAAACATGAGACAAAAACCAGGGAATATTTGGTCCAAGCATGCAGTCCTGGTGCCTTCTCCTTGTTGAGTAAACCATGAGCATTCCACCTTCTACCCGGGCTTCCCTAACACTGCCAGCTGAACAAGTACCAGGTGGAAGCTGAAATACATGGATCATCTTGGAAAAACCTAGACTAGTGATTGGAGAGGAGGGAAAAACTGAAGCACCATTTGGTCAGCTTGAAGCATACGGGGTTGGGTGAGGCAAAGGGGTTCCAAGTCCTCCCCTTCCCTTACCCCTCGAGGGCTCCAGCACAGCCCCAGAAGGGAAGAAGGGATCAGGGAGGAGTTGTTCTCTCTGCCAACCAAGTGAAGGAAATCTGAAGAGCCAAGAAATTCAGACCCAACATCTTCTAGAAAATAAATTCCTTGTGGGTTTAAAGCAGCCTCATTTTTTAAAAGTGACGGTCATAGAGCAGCTCGTTGGAGATGGCACATGGATGCATAGAGCACCTCTCCAGCCTGGG